ACAAAACACATGTACTATAAATATTCATTACAAGAGAGATGTTTCAAAAAAGGTAATAGATAATTATGGATCATTTCTAGAGTAACGAGTTATAAACGAATTCATTAGACACTATTCTTTAGACAGTCTTTCAAACTTTCATATTAATTTAACTCAACCATTCAAATCAACTGACTACTATATTGCATTAAGGTCAGTAGTATCTGATAATATCATATGAAAGTATTTTGTTTTCTTCTTTGTTTTCATACTGACTTATCTGAAAAGTTTATCATTATCTTTGAGCACGCTCGAAAAGTGTCTGTTTTATTAGGGTCAAAAATATTATATTTGAGTGATTTTTTAAAGAATACATCAAAATGATGATTACGTAATTCGTTAAACGTTTAAAGAAAAAAATTAGAATCATTTGTAAGACAAATATGTTTTTAAAACTGTCCTTATTTCACTGAAAACTACGCAAAAACTATTAATATTTTCAAAACTTTAAATGGTTTTAATTAAAGAACTAATGGTAGAGAACAAATTTCATTTGTAGAAAATCTTCGTTAAATTAATTGCACGAAAGTTTCCAAAAAATTTCAAACTTCCGTTATTTTGTATTTAAAAATAAGTTTAATATAATTAAAATTAAATTTCACACCGTCGAAGCTTTTTCAATCACTACTTGTACAGATAGTGATGAATGCACTGAATAACCTGACATAAAAAGCACGTTAATGTAATCGTTTCATTTTTAAAAGCATTTGATATTTTCTCTCGTATTAAGCGGTTTTAATTGTATCTTTGATTCGTCCATATAAAACTGGACTGACATTTCTTTGTATAAGGATGACATTAAGTTTCATCAATGAAATATGTGGTGTTATTAGGGCAGAGTTGCAGTGGTGAATGAACGACAATTATTCAAAGTAATGATACAGAAGTCAGAGTTTCGGGTTTGGTGACTCGTAGATTGTATCATCCATTTATTTACTACAAAATAAACTATATTACAAACTACGATTGGAAAATACAATTCTGTACTTCCTATTCCACTGCTATTATAATTTAATTTATATCAACAATAGTATTCCTTTGATCTCAATATGAAATTTCTCCTGAATATTGAATATGAAGTGATATTAATTTTCTGAGAAAGCACTTTCGTTCAATACATTCACAATCTCTTTGATTTGTGTTATAAAATGATAGGTTTGATAGTGTTATAAAATTTGAAGAAGTTTAAATTTCTCCATTCCATAGGTTGAATTCCTATGATAAGACAGTCGTGAACAAAAATTCTGATTAGAGAGAACATTTCTCAAAACTGAAGGTCTGGGAAAAACAATCTGGCTGAATTTTGCGTCAGAAAATTCTCGTACGTCATTCAGGTCACAATCCCCGCTATATTACTTCGATGAATCCTGACATTCCGTCTAAAGACCACCATTTCCTTGATAAGAAGTCGCCCTTCAGATCTCACAGTAAAAACCCCTTAATACCTTTCTCCGAAGAAGCAGCCATCTCATCAAATCTGACGAGCAACGCTTATCATCCACCCAGGGGCGATTTCACCCGGAGACATCACACAGCAGATGCCTCAGACCTCAATCAGCGGCAGTGGGATTTCTTAGAGTCCTCGCTCGGCTCCATTATGTCTCCCCCCGCCCTGCGACCTATCTTCATACTTCTCGCCGTCGCCGCCTTTAAAACTTGAGAAATAAAACGGCGGCCACTTCCCGCAAACGCGCGCAGACGTTCTGAAGAAAAAGACTCGCCCGCGTAAATCCTCGCGTGCCGGCGCGGACGGACGATTCAGTTCGCGGAAGAGGGCTTATCTAACCCCAGCGCCGCACCGCGGTCGGGCCGCGAAACTGCGCGGTTGACCTGGAAAGGTGGTTGGGCGGAAGGGTGGAACTTCCAACGTGTTTCGGTTCGTCTGGCTCGTCGCCAGACGGGCGAGTGAGTGGATCTGAGGGCCGGCGAGTAAGTGGGCAAGTGAGCAAGCAAGTGATCGGGCGAGTGGGTGGGCGAGTGGGTGGGCAAGTG